CCTTTTCTGTATTTATCCGTTATATTTTACTGTATTTATCCTTAAATGGATTTAAAATAGATTAGTTTGTATACAGTTCGTGTCGAAAATAAGCCTCCCAAATGGGTTAATTAGTTTTTATTATAGTAATTAACACAAACATCTTCGATTTTTCGAAGGACACTCGTCCAAATTGAAATTACTCTAATAACAAGAAGAACCCGTAGAGAAATAATAAGTACAATTACCTCTATTGAGTATCATTTTGTGACGGTTTAATTCCAATTCCACTTATGCCCACATCTGTCTCAATATACGAACGTCGACCGGTTGTTACGGTCAAAACGATGAATGTCATCTGTACGTGAGCCCTTTTTGACGAATGACACCATCCATTATGCCGCGTCTCCAGCTTTCATACTCAACAATCGACGTTTGTATTGAAAGAGATATTAATATGGGGCGTCGTTATTGCCATTTTGTATGCGCCTGTTATTGATGTAAGCCGCATATCTGAATTACGACTGACATCGTTTAATGTAAATTGTCGCTTCTTTCCACGTCTTCTTCCAACTGACATTATTTTGTATCATTTTCTAAATTATTACAATTAATGTAAGTTTGTTTTCAAAGAGAACTTTGAAATAAATTCAAAAACAGTTATGATGATATAAATTTTCGAAAATCTTAAATGTCGTAAAAGTCACGAACAAACAAAGTGGACGTTAAAATATATAAAAAGCACTTTTACACTTTCCCATCAATTACCGATAAAGAATTAATCGCCTCACGTATAGAAAATATGGTCTTTTTATTATCCAATCACTTATTATACGGCCCCGTGTATAATTGAGTCGTTAAACGTCCTCTTCACCATCTCCTTCATCCTCGCTCACCACGATTCTTCCTCGTATAGTACCGAAAGCATAAGACGCATAAATATCCAAACTACAACTTAATCGGTCACGAACAACCATCAACGAGACCAATTTATCATTGATATCCTTGTTTTCTTTCGGTCGGGAACGGTTTTGTTCACTTTTAGGGCTTGTTCAAACCAAAACGACTTTCACAATATTAGAAAAAAATATAAATTTTTATTATTTAATAAACAACGTAACAAAAACAAAGTTAAAATAATGATTTTTGAATAACGTTAATTAAAATATCTCGATATTTCTAAATAAAATCTTTTGTGTACTGAGTATATACTCATCTTAAATGATTCTTGTTTGAAGCTGTTGTTTTCTATGAAGGTCGGGGGTCTTTCGTTGTAGGGGTCCAATTATCAGACCATTCAGTGCTTCAGCTGTTAGTTCTATTCAATGTGTTATTTTTGATTCGCCTTTTACTTGTTTCCTATCATTTCAGTTGAAATAATTAATTAATTTTGCAATGAATATATGATGTTTCAAAAAAAATCTAATAAAATAAAATGTAATAAAGGGGAACGTGGAACGGAAAACTAATTATCGTCGGCTTTTCGCTAATTGTTAATTAACCAACCAGGCCCGGATTACCATAAATAATTAAATTCCTGACCGGCGACTTATGAGTCAATGAATAACAATTAAATACGGCGGTCTGGGCTATATATACAGTATACGAATTAATTACCGAGGTATTTGAGAGCAAGCGAACGCTTGCGTTAGCACCAGAGACAAAATTATGCGCATCCAAATGAGTTATTACTGCTGCTGGTTTGGTGTGGTTTTAAAAATTGCTACTGTTACATTACGCATTATACGATTATAATTGGTGGGGTACTATTGACTGTTTATTTGTTAGTACTCGAATCCAAAATTAATTACTTCAATCAATTATTTATTTTTAGTTTGGTATATTAAAATAGAAAATTAAGCGACATTTAATAAATTGGTTTTAATTAAACATATCTATCAAATCCAAAAAACATCTTTCTCAACTTAACTCAATCAAAATAAAAATTAGTAATGATTATAATAAGTTGTTAAAATAAAAACAACTTAACCAATCTTTCATAATAGTGAGGTCCAACTTCTTTTTATTCTTACTTTAGGGACTAACCCTGTTTTTCTTCCATTTCTCCCCTTCCTTCCTCCTCTTTCCTCTCTCACTTCCATTTCGATGGGTTGGGTTGTGATGACGATATCCAACTCTCATACCAGCTTTTATGTGGTCTTCCTGGGAGTCGCTTGGTGTTTGGTTTTTGCGTTTGGATTTTCATTTTCTCACCCATCCTGTCAACATGATTTCTCCAATATCTTCTCCCATTATCTCTCTCCATTATATTCTCACATTAAATATACAGATAGATCCATTTGATTACGGTCTATTATCGAAAAATAAAGTGCAATAAAGTGTTGTTGGCAAAACACATAAAGAAGTTGACATGGTTTCTGAAAAAAAGGGATGACTATAGAAGAGAATGGATTTCTAAATGGATTTACGAGGAAATATGGTAATCTGTTCTATGTGGAACGAGATTATTGGTAAATTAAGCAATCCTACAATATCTAAATTAAAAAGAAAAAAATCATCATTACAATAATTGTATCAGACATGCCCTAGGGGTAATGTTTTTGTTAGGAGAAGTTGGAGAAGGCAAACCTGTTTATCACACAACGCAGACACTTGTGGGCACAGAAAAAAATCAATTATAGAGAAAAAGCTACTGGCTTAAAGTCTTTGCTATTAAACAAATTAAGCCATACTTGTACGAAAAAACATTGTGAGGCTTTGGGTGCGTAAGGGTCCTAATTCCTGACTTATGAGATTAAGGATAAAGCTGAAGAAATAAAACTTTGAAAAGGTTATAATAAAGAAAAGCTCAAAAATCATATGGGTGCCCCATCATAAGTTAAGCTCATGTAAGCTTAGCTTATGCTAAGCGTCTTTATAGATTAGAATAGATAATTCAGAATGTCTATCCACATTTTAGTCACAACGCATAAACTGAAAACCCAACCCAGAACAGGAATAACATAACCAAAGATATAAATAAATACGAAACTAATGCAAAATCGTTTATCCTACAACTTTGTTAAAAGAATCTCATAAAAATCAGGCGAATTTGTGCATGTTGTTTTAAAGCCTAAATTTACAGTAATCGAACTAGTAAATCGTTTAACTGTCGTCGAAATGTCATAAATGTCTCAAAAAACATAATCCTGCTAAATCAAGTAAAAACTTACCTGCAATAATTAACTTTATTAATAAAGTCGCTTAAATTTTTTATACTGTAGTGATAAAAAAGATTAAAAATAGGAAAAAAATACCTGCAGGTGTATTAATATTGCTAATGATTGCTCTGATAGTTTAATCGGATTTATGAAGCTTTATGTAACTTTCCGAAGTAGAAAGATTAATTTCAAAACGATTATTGCAATTAGCATTAACTAGATGTAAATAACTTTTTTGTGTATATATTAATTTTTTGCATATTTTGAAAAGAGATTTCTATAAAATAACGTAGATATTCCTTCTTGGATTATTTTAGAACTTGGCATAAGTAGATATGAAAATATATCATACGCACACATTACTATTTACAAGATAATTTGTAAGATAACTTTCCACTTTGATGTCGTTAATGCATTCGGGAACATTACCATAAACCACCCAATAATGAATTTAAACTTAAGTGAACACGCGTTTCCATTAGGTCTGTGTAATAAACCAAAATATTAATGGAAAATTTCCGTGCCAACTTATCTCAATGGAATTCGTAACAATATTTTTTCATTCCTCGCCTCAAAAAATGTTATTGTTAACGGTTTATTATTAGATTTAAAAAATTTTTTCGTTTCGAATTACGCCAAATCGAACGATTTTTCTTCATTATTTTTCAGAATGAATTCCGTTAAATGATGAATGTGTATAAATCATGTGATAATAATGCAATATATAATTGCGGTTCTTTGAACATAACAAAAAAAAATAATTACATCTCACTGGTGATAAGAAAATCAATTACAAGAGATTGGGAGCGCAATTTCAAAATGAGAGCCATTTATCGTTTCGCGATGACCCCATCGTCTAATTTCAATGTAAACAACGGCCAGATATCTGCAATAATAATTACCACTTGATAAAATTAATTACACGCTTTGAGTAAATTTGTATTTCAAATTGGTCATCGCTAATTTTGTTCATGAGTAATCTATATTATTAAATTTGAACTTTAAGACCGGATCAAACTGACACCAAATTTTTTTATCATTCAATTTCATTATGTCCTATTTTAAAAAAAAAATTTGGTGTTTAAATAACACATATTTCATTATCTTACTTAATTGTAGAAAAATAAACAATTTTTTATCGTAATGATTATTAAAAATTCAAAACTTTATTTACAAAGTGTGTTCTCTTCTTAATATACAAGAACAAAATATTTTGATTAACAAAATGTCGAATTTAATTTAATTGGATGTAACCCCTGGGTCATCGGTTTGTCCAAAAATTCTTTTGAATTGATTTATATTTAGTTCAGCATCAACAATTTACGTCAGTTATTTCATTGACAAACCGTGTTTCTTTTTTGCTTTATACCGATCGACCTCGTTTCTTGTTAAATATGCTAAATTTAGATAACAAAAAAAAATTATCGACAAGGAACACCCAAAAGTCAGCCGGTTGGTCAGATGCGATCAAATACGTTTTTGTTGTAACAGACCCTTTTTTTTTGAACACACTGACTGGAAAAAATTCCCCCAATTACAGCCAGTGTGGACGAGACTGCTAAGATCTAATCTATTTTAATTCGGCTACCGAGAACTACCGTGGAGGTAGCACGTAATGTAAAAGAACCTCCCGTTAATGGAGCTGTAATTCTTGTTGTCAGCAACCAATCTCAAAATTAATATTATTATCATTTTTCGATGATGTGGTTTGAATTTTTGAGGAATTTAAATAAAAATACAAGTTGGCACATAATTCTATTTATTTACAAACTTTTCGCATCTCAATATTTTATACATACAATATAGAAAAGAAGAAAAAATAAAAACAAAATAAAAATAATAATATCCGTAATACAAAATAAAAAATATCGTAATAAATTAAAGTAATAATAATTATTTACAAGTAAGCTATAATAATAATAACAACAACAACGTCGAACTATTTTCAGATTGACATTGCCCTTTATTATTACCATAATCATCACAATATATTTACTCCGCCTTTTCGGAAGGGGAGCAAGAAATAAATTACATATTGCAACTGTGGAATCACGTATACGGTTTCCTCTCTTATTCCAGTTAGAGCCCTCCCTTCCCGTTTCCAAATTCTCTATTTCTTTAGGACATATGAGGGCTGGGCGTCCGAACGTTACCGGTGCCACCACCGCTTTGGGGTGAGGCCAAATGGGGTGACGGTTGGGGTATCAACCCCATTGGAGCCATCGGGGGTCTGGTCGCCCCCAAAAGCGAAGCCAAAGGGTGAGCCGCCGCTCCATGCTGAAAATATCCTTGCAAAGCGGGGTGAGGATATAGCGCGTGTGGATGTCTTGAAAAGGAGGCCATTTTTAACTTTTCTAGTTCCGCTTCTTGTAAACGTTTAGCTTTTGCTCTTCTGTTTTGAAACCAAATTTTAACCTGAAAATAATAATAAATAAAAATTAATAATTATTACAATTAATTTTTAATTTTGGAGATCATTTAATTGATTTTGATCACATTCGTTGTCATTTTGAATTATTAGATGTATTAGAACTTAAAATTAATTGATCAAAATAATATTGTATTTCCAAATAATCTTTGTTAGAGGTTCACGAGTAATTATCTGAATATCAGTCATATGACGAAGTTACGTGAAGATCACACTTATATTTACCAAGACTATAGGTTGACCACATCTACAGTTCATTACTGGAGTTATAAACAGTAGAAGTAGCTTGATCTTGAAATAAAATGCAATCTCATTTTCTGTAAGTACATGATATAGCTGTTGTGTAAAGATAAAGCAAATCTCTTGTTCTTATTCTGCAATAAATCTTCTATATTCTGCCAAAAAACTTTCAATCGAATAATCAAATGGTATTTCTAGATTCCTGAACTTTTTTTGTCATCAATGACCCGGCGTGACCCACACCAATGTAATCGTACAAACTCTCCTTCAACATTGGGTAGTCAAAGTCGTTTAACAAGATAATTTCTTAATAAATACATTGCATACCACAAAGTATTCGGGCAGGAGGCGTTTTCCAAGGTCTGATGTCTGTCATCCCAACGGTAACGTTTATTTGTCGCTCTAGAGACCCAGTTTCTTTGATTTGTTTTAAAAAACACTGACCGGACAACTCTTATGGGTTTATTCATCAATGGCTTTTTGGTAGGAGCACCACCATTACATTCAGTCAGATGTGCATCCTTATGCCTGGTGTATGTGGTCGATCGTTTAGATGCGGTGCTTTCGAATGATTCTTCCCAGCACTTGCTGACTTTTTGTATCACTTCCGCATCTATAGAGAGCTGTTGACTTGATCTGCAGTGCCTTATTTACTCAGCAGATTGCAGAAAATCTACAGAGAACTGACTTTAAGAATCTTTTGGTTTCTGCATGCCTCCTATGTTATTGGCGAGTGTCTGGAAGTGTTAATTCACTTCCAAACAATGTCTAGTTCACAAGTTTTTTGTTGTACTTCTTTTTACCAATTTAGAATTCTATAATTATATGTAGTATTTGTGCTACTACCATCCAGTCTCTGACACTTTCTTTTGCTTTAATATTCGATAGAGTTTTTCTAGCTCTTTCGAAGATAATACTGTTCAATTCATACTCTTTTTGTTCTTATGGTTACTGTACCAGAACACTGTTTGTACATCCGCATCAAGTTGAAAATCAACGTCACTGCCTTTGCTTTCTTCTCTTTTACCTTTTAGTTTAATGGGTTCTAAACAACATCCAATATCTTTTAATCCTCATGTTGCAATGTTTCATTCATTACAATTGAATTGACTTGAGTATTTATCTGTATGATTTTTATATGTGGTCTTATATGAATACAGCTTGTAGAATAGCAAAATTTAACGTCTTCATTGTTGAAAAATAATATTTCTAAGGTAAGTGTCTAGAAATAATAAGTTTAATGTTTAAATGAACCCAAAAACATTACAATGTGAAAGACATAAAAAGGTATTTCTAACAGTTCAGATTTCTCCAGTGAGGACAAATAAGTAATTTAGTTGGAAAGAAATTCCAGACATGCTGCAATTTGCGGTCAATCCGTATTACACCAAGTTAACAATCTCGTACTTAATTATTTCCATCTCAGTCAAGCGTTGATAAACGACTCTTTTAATGCATCAAGTTCAAATTATAACATGCTTAAATCCAAAACTAGATTTAAAGATTATAACGAAAGTCAAAATCAATTAAAAGACCAATTTTGTTTTTTTACTTACTTGTGTTTCTGTTAATCGTAATGAACTTGAAAATTCGGCTCTTTCAGCTATGCTTAAATATTGTTTATCCCTGAATTTCTTCTCTAAAGCAAGCAGTTGTTGCGTAGTAAATGGTGTCCTAGGTTTTCTGTTCGGTTTGTGCTTCCGTAGATTACATTTCAGCTTCGGTGCTTCCCCGTTCGACTCTGAAAGGATAATAAACGTTTAATCCTCTTAATTAAGTAACCGAACGGTTCCTTATAAAGTATCTTGTTGTATAATCTAACGTCGTCTTCGTAACGACAAAAAGGTAGAAAAAAGTAAATAAAAGTCGTTAGAGTGAAATTAGCGATTCTTAAAGGAATGAAGTAGAAAGAATTTCGAACGTGGTAAAAAAGGAAACGGAAATTCGCAATTGCGCCTGCGTAATTGCATGACAATTGAGAGTCGCGACAATCGGCGCGCCGCGCGCCATCTGTCGTCGTTAGCCGGTGCGCGGGATATTTAAAGTGCCCCCGACGACGTCAAAATCGATTTATTTCGTCGAGCGACACTTTAATGCGCGCTCAATTTAAATTAATTGACTATTAAGATCTTGTCCGGGCGTTTTATTTACGACCTTCGTCTCGGGGCTTAATTCAAATCGCCGCGGACGTTTACAAATTCTTGCTATCGTCCCTGCTGATCGAATCGCGTATAAATTACGACGCGTTCTTCCACGCCGCGAACCGGGAATGAAAAGAAACGACCGGGATAATGAGAGACGTAATAACGAATCATTTAGATTACTTATATTAACGTGACTAATGCTTAATACCACAACAACAACAACAAAAAAAAGAAAGTAAACGTTAACTTGTCAGATAGACGTAACCTCACTTTTGTGTAACATCTCATGGCAATTAACCTTTCAAAACGTTCTTTAATTAAATTTAACATTTAACCGCAGGACGGTTATCTTATGCCTTTTGGTACGGTAGCTAATCTGCGAAGAGGAGACGGAGACAGCGAATAAAACGCGCCGACGTGTAAGAAGGTCGTAAAGTGGTCCGGGACGGTTGGCACCACTGCCCGGTAGCCATTACGGGCGCCCTCTTCTTATCTCGGAATTAAGTTTCGTGGAATTTTAAAACGCGCCCGATTGTTTATCGCAGCCCCGTTTTTTATTGTTTTTAAATTAAGCGATTAAGGCTTTGGGTCGTAAAGTTGCCGCGCGTTTTCGGACAGGAAAGCGTCCAACCTACTAATTGCCTTCAACTCAAAATTGACAGTCTTAAGATCCAACCTATAATTTGTTTAAAAAAATAATATCCAATAAAAAAATTTAAAGGATTCGTGATGACATGTTATCAACGTTTTTCTACTCTGAAAAGAGTTGAGCAGCAAATGTATTTTTTACACCTTTTTTTTAGTTTTGATGAGCTATGAAATAAAACGCGGATTAAGGTATGGTTCGCGTGGCGCGATTAAACACCCCGTCAAAACGCATCGTTAAAATACGTCGATAAACCGCGTAGATATGCTTTATCACTATTATTTACAATTTATTTATCGTTGAGCAGAGTAGTGTTTATCGTTTGAATTTTTTCCTTCTGCTGAGATTGTTTATAACAAAATATACATTAAACCCATTTAGCTGAAATACACAAGAAGTGTGTATAAATAAATCTTGGGATTAATATATTGTGCTGATGTAGAAAGTAATTTTTGTTGCTATTGAATAACATCCCAGAGAAATGGTGTGCAATAAATTATTGTTATTATTTATTTATTATTTATTTATCAAAACTTCAAGAAGTCAAATAATATTAGACTGTAAATCTCCAAACTCTACAGGGTGATTCAAAAAACCGCTGACGGACTTCTAGGACAGGTAATATATCAAAAATTAAGATGAAAAGTCTTAATATACATGGGCTGGCAAATGCCATGTTTCTTTAAAATTAAACATTATCTACAATAAAAAACTCTTTTTTTAAATATTTTCAACGCCACTACTAATTTTGTCAAACGGGCAGTATTTTCGTGTAAAGTGATGAGTTATCTATCAATTGGTCTCTTACAAAACTTTGATAAAAGCAACAGCTTTTGATTGGATTAACAAATTTTCTACAAACGTGTTTTTCTTAAAAACTATTGCTTTGATGAAAGTTTTGTAAGAGACCAGATTGATAGATAATTGATCACTTTACACGAAAGCCCGTTTGACAAAATTAGCAATGGCGTAGACAATATTTTTAAAAAAGGGCTTTTTATTGCAGATAATGTTTAATTTTAAAGAAACTTTGACCCGATATATCTCGTTAAGGACGCATTTGCAACCCCCTACTCTAGAAGTCTGTCAGCGGTTTTTTGAATCACCCTGTATAATTGGAATCTTTCTTAACTTGTCGAGTATTGCACGACTGCTCGTCGTTTTGGTAAATTTGGTCAAAATACCACACAGCTTGTCAAAAACGCAAACGAGCATTTGGTTAAAACACAGAACCCCTGACAAACAGATGCGAGCATTAAATTTAAGCCATCAATGTCACTTGGGGCATTCAACCTTACCATCCTGAACCAGCTATAATGAAGTTTTATGATATTAACGACGAAAATAAATAATACAAAATAATATCGGTCAGATTAACAAGAAGTTCAATGAAACGCTTACAAAATATCCGTAACATTGTAAGTACATTTTGAGTACATAAACGAATTTGAAACCTTGTGAGAGGATTACGATTATAGTGAGATATATGATTAGGTTAACAAGCTTAAAATGTATAGGTATTGTGTAGTCAACCTACTTTGAAAGCTTCAAATACCGATAGTGTTAGCAATCGTGGATTAGAACTGGTCATTCTTTATTAATTTTTAATTTTTAAACTTTTTATCATTTTTGTATTTATTACTTTCAAACATTTATATCCATTAGTCATTTATTAGATTGGCTTATAGCTTGGTGGTGGTTGTTAAAGTTGATTTTTTGTTAATTTATACCCTTACAGCACATGACTGATATTATTGAAGGCTTCATCATTGCCTATTTTGAACGTCATAAGTTGGAAACGCCGAGAAAGTATTGTTGGGTGAACTCAAAATGGGATCAAAATTAGTTTTAATAAGAAAAGGGTTTTATAATAAAGGTTTCCACATATATTTGTCCATTATATAGGGATTTGGGAGTAGGTGATGGCTTAGTCGTAGATTCTATGACTTGCCTGACAAAAGACTTGCAATACTTTTTACTTTTACTTGCAAATACTTTGAATGTAAGTCATTGGACAGTTTGGAAAATTCATAAGGACAATTTGTTGTATCCATACCATATTCAACCCGTTCAAGCACTACTACCTGCTGATTTTCCTCCACGTATTGCATTATGTCAATGGATATTGCAAACATTAGTTCGCATCTCTCTATTCCTGACGCAGATTCTTTTTACCGATGAAGCCAGTTTCTCAAGAAATACTATAAGGAATTTTTATAATAATCATGTGTGGGCAGATGAAAATCCACATGAGGTATGTGAAGATCATTTTTAACATTAATTCTTCTTTAATGTTTAGGTTGGAATTGTGGATGATTATCTAATTGGACCGGTATTTTTATCAGGAAGACTTACTGGTGTGGTGTATCGCAACTTTTTGGCAGAAACGCTGCCTGAGTTTGGTTGTTCGTAATCTTTTAACAGCAACATACGGTAATCGCTGGAGTGGTCGAAGTGGGCGACACGCATGGCCAGCTCGATCCCCAGACTGAAACCCCCTGGATTATTTTTCTTGGGGATATCAGAAGTCATTAGTTTACGCTACTTCAGTGGAGAATTTGGACGATTTGCGAAATAGGATGTAACTCAATTAGAAACGACCCTGGTGTGTTTGAAAGAGTTCGGCAGTCAATGACGAGAAGATTGAATGCTTGCAAATTTTGTTCGCCCTGTATCTTTGAAACAAAGCGGTTTTTCAAAAATTATCGTAGGACAAAATATTCTTAGAGTAGGCTAACTAATAACCCCTTGCATTTGTGCCGCATGTGTACCTAACACCCTATATATTATAATTTATTATTTATATTGCTGTATTCTATGACCGCTGAAATTTTGATTTTAATATGCTTAATTATTAACATATTATATTAATAATAATTTGTTTGTGTTAATGTGTTTTTTGATGTTTTTGAATTGATGTTTTTTAAATAACGAACTAAATTGTTATGAAATACCGACATTGATAACCAAAAATTTAAACGTATTTACGCATTCCTTGTTTGTTGTAATTAGGTTGATGCCTTGAATATTTTTTTCAACATTCTTTCTTTATCAGAAAGAATAAAAAATTGGTGGTATCTAAATATAAAAACACGATAATTGCCGTGACGATATTTTCATTGCAGTTCCGAGCATTTTTACAATTTCGTTTTACATTGTGTGCTGGTTGTTGTCGTTATTACGAGCCTTGATCGTAGTATTTTTACCCTGCCGGAATGCTAAATAGCGGGGTGGCAGCGCTCGGCGTCCTCCGTGATGGATGGTTATTAATCTACTAAACGCCGCCGGCAATAAATATCTGGTAATGATCGTTTAGCTGGCCCTTTAACTTCCGACACTGATATGTGGAGTTGAGAGATATTTGTGGACCATTTTTTATCCTCACAAGCGACGCGGCTTATGTTCCAACCCGGCCTACTATACTCTAAATATAGTTGTAAGCAGTTGCAGTCGGTTAGTACAGAAACTAACCAAATGATCTAACTGTCGTTTTTACAACATCATTAAAGAGGAAACTCTCCACTATTTTGAATCCATTAGTGAATAACGTCTTTTTTAAATATATCTGGATTTTTTTTCGTTTACTAATAAACGTTTCAAGTACTATTTCAATTGGAAACAGAAACTGGAATGTGTCATCGCCGATGGCAATCATAAATCATAAACGTCAACGTAACTCAAAACACGATCATCATCGATTCATAATCAAGTCGTCATAGCTAGGTAACAGTTGAACGGCGTAACAAATGCTCGTTCGACTAACTCTAGCGGCCAATTCTGGAAGCTCCCTACACAGACCACCGTATCGTGTATGATCGGAGAACGTCGGCCAATTGAATTTTTCGCTGTGGTTGTTTTTGCGCACGCCCGCAGATGGATCTGCGCTCGCGCGCACCTCATTACCATCAATTACGCTTGCAATCGCTTTGGAGAAATCGGCGCGTAAATACC